CCGGGAGGCGGGGCCAGGGGGCGGGCGGGCGCGTCGGTGAACCGCAGGGTCCTAAGGCACCTGTCTACCTCTATCATTTTTTTTTCTTCCACTTTTAGGGTCTTGGCCAAATTGGGCGAGGGCACAAAATAACCACTTACCCCTTGTCGCCGAGGAGGAGCGGGAGAAAAGGTAAGTAAGGGGGGCGCGGGGGGCCGGGGCCGGGACTTCCTCCGGGGGCGCTGGCGAGCCAGCGGGGCGACCCCGCACCGCCCCTGCGACCTGGGGTCCAAATTCCGCTTCTCCTCGGGAGCTGCAGACCCGCGCGCGGAGGTCCCAGGTCGCGGGGCTCTTTTCAGAGCGGTCTGGAGGGTTGGCGGGGAGTTTGGCAGCTTGAGCCTGATGCGTTTGAGACCCCTGAGCCCACCGGAGACTGATTTGCTTGCACCTCTTTAACTTGAATCCGTGGTCCTGGAGCTGCCTCTCTGGGCCCCATAGTTTACTAGCTAGCTTTGACTAATCCCGAGACAGTAAGTATTAAGGAATCAGGGTCCTGCTTGATAATTAACAGGAGCTCCTGCAGGGACTTCCACATTTTTAAGGAGAGGACTACTAAAAATACTCCTTTAGGACCTAAAAACATTAATACTGCAGCAGTGTTACAGGTGTTGAAGTTCTTTTGGGATCTTCTTTCAGGAGTCTAGAAGAAGAGATTTGGGTTAGGAGAGAAGTTTCCAGGCAGGGCATTTTTCTCTTGACTGTCACTTTGCTGTCCCCCTGCAAACGGTCTCTTCACTTGTGAGAAGTTACTAAGCAGTGCGCTGAAGTCCTGGGAAATTCCTGGGATTTTCAGTGTGGTCACTTTCACTGGTTCTTCCCTGGGACTTTGTCCTCGCTTGTCCAATACACTGCTTCCCTGTTCCCTAAGTGGAGAAATGAAACACAGCTTCTCTGGGGACTCCCTTAGCAGCGTGTCTATCACATTTAAATAAACATTCTAAAGTAGTTAACAGTTCAGGTTAGCTACAAGCAAGAATATAGTAAACCACATGTTTAGATGCTGACCCCTGAAAACCAATATTACTTGTGTACCACAAGTGACAATTTATGAGCAATCAGGAAGTGAGGTTTTTATTGATGATAGGTTCATGTATTGATTGAGAAGATACTTACTACCTCTGTCCTGCCATGTGCCGAACGCATTTGTAAAAGGAGAACGGTGAAAAGATGAGCCTGGAGATGGCCGTTTTGGGACAGGCCTTTCACCAGTTTTCTGTGGATGTCATGCACACTTTCGTGTGAATGGACAAGAACTTCCCTATACAACTGGTCCTAATGGTTTGAAATCTGTAAAGTGTTGCAGAAGAACAGTACTGCTCTGCCTTTGTAACACAGCCAGTAATAAACTTTCAAGGATGACTGACTGTGGCGATTTGTGTCTTATAATGGATGGTGTTATAGTCATTTTCCAGTGTAATAAATACTTTGTACAAGTACAGTAATTATGTGACGATAGGTTTTTGAATTGTTCCACAAGAAGGCCTACTATAAAACATTGAGAGCGGATGGTGCACCCAGGAAAATAATTACTGAAGGAGACTATTAACTTGCATGGCTTTCTGTGCATTTAGCTTTGTTTCTTTATCTAAATGAGAAAAATTCCTTTGCCTTCTTCTAATTATAAGGTCAACACAAAGTTTAGAATGAAATATTGCAGGAATATAAAAGGAAGTGAGTCTTCACCTTGAGATGATCATTGTCAACAATGTATGATTTCAACTTTCTATTTCTTATGTATACACAGTAAATACACAGTTGGATATTACACAAATAAATGTTACCTGTACTTACAGCTTAGCATATGTTAACCGTACGTACAGGCTAGTTATCTATTAATATGTTTGGTTTGTGTATATAGAACATTATATATTATATAACATGTATTATATAACAAAACTATATAAGATACACGTTTCAGTTATTCTGTGAACTTGTAAATTTCTTCCTTTTCCGCCAACATTTTGGCTGTTTACCACCATGCCTTACTCTATCTCAAACCCTCACATAGAAGTAGAATGCCTTTTATAGTCGTTTATTTATTTTTTTCTCCTACTGGAGATCAGGTACCCAACTTTAGACACGCTAGGCAAGGGCTCTACCTTTGAGCTGCACTCTCAGCCCCTATGGTCTTTTTGACTCCTCGCCCTTATTTTATTAGCTCTGCCACTTTGGTTCACTTACCACATCGCTTGTTCATTTATCATCTGTCAAACAGAACAATAAATACATAAAAAAACTGTAAAAAATGGTGCCTGGCCTGTAGGTAGTTAATTTCCCTGCTTGTTTTTCTGATTGCCTATTACTTCCTTGTGATCTTCCTTTCGATAGAAGAAGGCAGTCTAATACTTTCCTGCACATGCTAAGCCTCCTGGGTCTGAGTATTTTCACAGTAGATCACCTGCTGTATCTGATTCTGGAATTTCTGGGACAAGAACTGACACCAGATGTAGCTCATTTTCCCCCATCAGATCGTTCTGCAGCCGTGGTTAGAGAATGTCAGCCTGAAAAACGAAGGGAAAGGGTTTCTGTAATGTATTTAAAAAGCTCTGATACTGTCACCAAACTGAGAGAGACATAATACTGCATTTAGCGAGTGCTTAAAGTTGGTATTTCTATTTCAGTAATGTCTTTGGTTCATAAGAATTACAATAAAAATGCTGATGCTTCATGTCCAAACTGTCATGATTCTGCCTAGTTGTGGGTTTAATATACAGCTAAGCTGTGTATTTAGTGTATCTAAAACTGCTCTGGAAGCTGAGAAAGACAAGTCTGCAGACATCTGATTTCACACCAGACATCTGGTTTCACTGCTAAGGAGTACATTCTGTCAGTAGATTATAGGCGTATCAGCGGTACTGCTGTAGTTTATGGCATTTCTATTACAAGCTCTGGTCTAGAGGGCTTAGTATGATGTTTTATTCAAATGACAGCACGCTGGAAATGAGCACCTGGTCAGAGAAGCACATTTCCCACAGGCGTCTTCCGCTGCCATTGTTATCACAAGTTAACAAGGCAAAATAGTCTCTGTCCTTGGTGAGTTTTACATCGAGTTTTTTTAGAAGCAGAAATCTTTGTAAACCAAAGCCTAATTAAAAGTACTGTTAGTACCAGAAGTTCATTTTCCAATCCACTGTTGTTTGTAATGTTAGCAATCAACTCACAAGAATAAAAATAACAAACACCATTTAGATTTCTAGGTAGAACACCAAAGTTTTTAAAAAACTCATTGTGTACCCATTATGTTATTAGTGCTAATGGTTACTCTGATCCAATAATAGTAATTTTTGGAGAAAATTGTATTCCCGGGTCCAGCCTAGAATGGCTAGATCACATTCCCCTGTGTTTTGAGGTAATGACAGGGCGTAGGAATGCCCTGGAAGCTGTTAGTCTTGAGTTTTGGGGTGGGCTCCATCATTGCTTAGTTGTGACTGTGCCATAAATTTCTCGTCTGTAAAACAGGATGATTGTAGTTACTGTGAGACTCAGTGATTGTAAAGTAGCAAAATATCTCCCACATAATAGATCCTTAGTAAATTACAGTTTTTCCCCTTTAGGCCCTTCCTGGCTACAGGAGGAAAGACCTTCCCATTTTACATTCAGACTAACCCGCTAACCAGGGCTGTGGTTCCCATGGAGGGGCAGGGCATATGCGAGGAATGGCGAGGGAGAGTACCGGTGAGCGGAGAGAAGTCCATGGACTTGCTCAGCCAGTGGACTTGGCTGAGTGCACTGCTGGGCTCCTAGGAAGCACCATCTTTAGAACCATCGTTTTCTGTGCCTGTCCATTGATCTTTTGTCAGCTGTTCCACAGGGAACTCTTATCTCCTTATTTCCTGCTTAGTTCAGTACAACTTTTGGCTAGGTATCGTATGCATAACTGCAATCCCAGCACTCAGGAGGCTGAGGCAGAAGGAGCGCTGTGAGTTTGAGGCCATCCTAGACTACATAGTGAGTTCAAGGCCAGCCTGAACTACACAGCAAGACCCTGTTTCAAAAAGACGAAACAACAACAACAAAAACCCAAAATACAACTTGTTTATCACTTTGATAATACCTGAATAACCCTACCTTCTACATTTTTCTGAGTAAGGCATAACAATAGATATTTGTCATTTGTTAAGATTGTTTTTTCCTTGCATGCTTGATTTTTTTTTTTTTTTTGCCCTTTGTTGGCTTACAGTTCAGTCATTAACCCACCTCCACTTTGAAAAAATTATATGCATTGAAATAGTGCTGAGGATATAAAGATGAAAAGTCACTGTGCTTCACCAAGGAGCTTTTAGTGTGCTAGGATGGTGGGTGTCTATGTACAGTTTAAATATAGTCTGTTATTTGCTATAGTGGAGGTAGGCTTAAGTGTAATGGAAACCTAGCAAGAGCTCTTGATCCCTGAGGGAAATGCCAGGGAAGGGTTTTAGTGGTGGTTGTGTTTGAGCCACACTTGAAAGCTGAGTAGGAATGGGCAGCTGGAGAGGCAGCAGAAATCATTTCCAAGGGGAGCAGTCATATTAGCTAGTGAGGGGCAGGTTGAGAGTAAAAGCAAATAAAGCTGGGTGGTTAATTCAGGGTGCACTTCCTACCCCATGTATACTAGTGCATCAATGAAAAATAGTGAAAGGTCACTGTGGGAGGGTAGGGGGTACAGGTGGGGACATGGTAAGAATGGAGATCATTGAGGACAGTGCATTAATATGGAAAAGAGATTAAGAGGTCATACAGGAATGGATGTAGTGAGGACAGAGAAGTCTGAGTGTCTAGGAAAAGTAGTAGGAGGGAGAATTAACTGGTTTTGTGACTGAATGTAGAGCATGAGGGAAGAATGAGGATGCTGGAATACTTCTTAGGTTTCTGGATGGTGAGAAGGGAGAGAAAAGAGGAAGCACGTATGAGGGAAAAGAGGAGTTCAGCGTTGGACACGTGTTCAACGTGCTGGTGACTTGGAGGTGTCTAGAAGATATCTGGCTATGCATCCTGGAACGGCGCAAGAGATTGCAGAGGCTAGAGATAGTTTTCTGGGTTCTGAGTCACTGAAGGGATGAGAAAAGGTAAAAATGTTCGAGGAAATGTAAAAAAAGAAAAAAGGGCTAAAAGTAAGTCTTAGAGAAATATTGAAACTTAAAAGACAAGCAAGA